TTTGCTGAAAAATATTATAATATTCTCTCGGTGTTATTCGTCTGAAATATTCATTATTTGAATACCAGTTTTTATATTTCAACGCTCTGAACTACGGTTAAATACTATTATAATAATATTGTATACGTCCTATAAATATATTAGATAATTCTTTTTATCATGAAATCAATTTTTCACCAAATATGTATCGACGAGACAAAATTATTAATATTACTACTATTTACGTATGAGTGCTATGACGAAATCACATAACAAAGCTGTTGCGGTAGTCATCAGTATCCTGAGTTCTCAGTTCAACCGATATACCAATAGTCATCTGGTCACTTTAGAACTTATACTCCTGTCTTGATCGGCAGGTACAATAATAATATTAAGTATCCTATCGAGCCCAAAACTGGTAGTTGGTATGTATATGTATACCTTAAAATATTTTCTGCGCCGCCAGTGTATGTAACAATCATATGGGTACGTACTTAATGTAATATAATATAATAATGGTATATTTTTAACAAGCCGACCGCAGTTGTTGGTAACGACGTTACAGCATCGACTCCGAAGTTTGGAACAATGTGGGTTTCTCACGACGATTAATGTATATAGGTATTATAGGTACCCACGTCGTGTGAGCGTTTGCGTATGTGTTTTAGATTTTTTTTTCTTATATATTATATTCTTTCTTTCGTTGCTGCATTGTTCTCAATAATTGGGACATCGTGTCTCCGTCGCCGAGCAGTATATTACACCGCAGCCGCAGCAGCAGCAACAGCCTACTGCAACAGTTGTAGACTGCAGCTGTTATTATAATTTTTTTTTATTATTATTATTTCGCAAATGCACCGTTGTCGTTGCGTCCGATCGAAAAACCATATATATATATTATGCCGGCCAGCATAAGTGGAATGGCTAGGAATATATTGGAGGTTCACGCCTAAGTATAACATATATATTGGTACCTACCTGCTATGGTGGGTACCACGACGCGTTTTCGCTACAGACGCGTGAAACAGGTGCTATGTAGTGAATTATACCGTGAAAATCTTACAACTGCTGCAGCAGTAGTGGATGTGCCTTATTCGCGGGGTGATGACTCGTGCGATTTGCTAAGGTGGGTGCCCGATTACATCGAATATACGGGAAGTTTATTATTCATTTGTCCGTATCGAGATATAATCGACCGTATACGAAATACAGATTTATAACGTCATGATGCAAACGAGTACGCAGTGTAATTTAAAAATATATTATCATAACATATAGGTATACCTAGGTATAACAGTTGTGTTCGCATGCATTTCGGCGTGTCGAGGCGGGAAGAAAATTAAAATAAATACGTAAATATCAATTATGACAAACTTCTGAGAACACATACACATGTATGTATACATGCATTATGCATGTATAAAAATATGTTACACTGGTCCAATTAACACGGAACACGCGAACGGTCCGGACACACAACAGGTTTAATGGGCAACAATCCGCATAGAGTCTATATTTAAGTACTGCGTATAATAATATGACTATAGAAATCCGAGAATTTTTTTTTCGCAATTTTCGAATCGCACACACTAGATGCGGTTGATTCTGCGCGATTCAGTTGAGTGTCAATCGCTATATGGAGGTTTTTCGTTGGAATAAGCCGCAGTCGCTTAGCGCCTACCCGCTCTATAAAATATTGTCAAGTCGGCTGCAACGCGGTCTGCAGATCAACACCATCAGACACCATATCACAAAATAATAATTTAATATCAGGACGGCTCTATGGCCGTACACACAATAACATAATATAATAATATTATTAACGGTCGGCTGGCCGTGTAGGGTGGCCGGCGATAGGTCATAAGGCGAGTAAACATCAATATAACCGCCTGGAGCAGGTTCGATAATATTTATCTCTCTATTGACCCGTCAAACTATTATTATATATGTACCGGAGAAAGAGATTTGTGTGCACAAGTTAAGTCACTACCATCTCTATGTCTCCACCGACACTTGTTATATTATATTTTGTACGTACCTATATCTATATATTGCAAGTGAGCAACCAGTCGTGAATCGTGACGCGAGATAACATCCCGAAAAGTGTGATTAAGTTTTTCCAGGGAGAAAATTATTTACACCGATGACGATCGCGAAAAGCGTAATATATGTACCTAGATAATGAAGAAACGGAAATTCGACATATTATAGTAATAATATTATTATGTCAGCACTAAATCCAAGTGAGACTTTACTGTAATCGGAATCAAAGTTGGATTTAGTCAATTTACACCTCAGGGAAGTCATATTTTCACCATATTTAAAATGTAAATGATCATTAATATGTGACGAATAACATACATAAGTACCTACTTGTATATATATAATATACTGTAAAGTTATTGTTTAAAAACTAGAGCCCTCTGCCCCCATTACCCCATTTATCCGGCACTGGTCGGAGTGACGGCCTATCGCCAAATTATCTCACCACTTTACGGTTACCGTGCTCTCGTGATAACTCGCCTCAAATTCTTAAAATTAAATGACGAATATAATGTAGATGAAGTCATCCAATCTTTCGTTATCTATAATGGGCTAAACGACTGAGACGTATTACTATATAATCTCATAATCTATGATCAGATAACTGAACAATTTTTAGGTACCAATTAATCGAAAAATAACTGCATAGAATAGTCCGTACTCCGTATACTATACTTAGATCAGTTAGATCTGATGCAAACCACGATCATTAAAAATAAAAACATTTGAGAGAACCGCCATTTTCATAAAAAATCTGCTCCGGTGCAACAGCCATATGTTTATTATATTGATCGATATTATCTGAAACCTTTGGTCCACGCATTTTCTGAACGATGAGTGTTGAAACTTGGAAATACGAAATAACTACGATAATATCATGGTTTTAATTTATTTTTAACTTATTACCGTGCCCCTGTCCAAACATAAAATTATCCGCAGCAGTTGCGTGAAAAAAACCACTTCAAATAGTTTACTGGTTTCCTCGGATTTTCGCAATAATAATAATAATATGCTCATTATGGCAATAGCCAATAATATTATTCTGTTTCAAATATAACAATCATCGTCATTTCCCGAACTACGTGGCTTGTCGACCGCTGCTGGGTGTGTCGCGCACTAATATTATTAGCGGGTGCACGAGCTGCGTACATACTTATTAATATATTATTATACACATAGTAATCTGAATATTGTTCGGTGAAACGATATTATAATATTTATGTATGAGTTATCCAAATCTTTGTTCTACGTTATAGAATGATCTCGTCGTCGTCGCGGCGGCATGTTTGTGTGTTTTATTAAGTTTTTATTAATTTTTTTTTTTTAATTACGATTTAACCACGTGTTACCTTTTTATATGGTTTCTCCGTGTGCATTCTCATAATATTATTATAAGACTTCTTCAGCCACTAGATATAAAGCTACTATCGGCGGCACTCGCGGATATATTATATGATCAATACGCTCATCGCTTATACTTTAACCAGACTACTTTCTTACCTATTATACCCTTTTGTACCCTTTCTTATTGTACCAAAAATAATAAACAACACAGAATATTGTTATACTTGTATACGCACTACGTATATCATTACACTCGTTTGGGTGTTTTTCGCGTGCACCCAACTGTGCTGCTGGACCTGTCCTTTATATATTATATATATATATATAGGTAAACGCAGTCACCGAGGAGCTATAGGTATTATGTAGGATAATCGCGAGTTTAACGGCGTATCAGCCGCTTTCTGGGTTGTAATAAATTATCGGTTTATTATATGGCTTCGCAGATAATGATCATCGCGCGAGGCATTAAACGTGTTAATTAATTGGCTATTAATTGTTAGCGCGCGCTCGCACACTGCTTTGTCCGCCGTCGCGAGTTGCTGCGCAAGCTTAAAATCGTTTTGTAATTACTGTTGCCGGGGAAAAAAACCAAACTGACAAACAAGAAAAATATATTCAAGAAATCCTAGTAGGTTTTTTTTCTTCCCGTGCACACGCTTATATATGTGCAACTCCCCGTCGCGGCTTCGAGTACACCGTGCATTGCATATTTGTCGCTAGTCCGTTATAATTGCACACTCGCCACACACACGCACGGCGAACACTGAGTACACGGGGTGAACACCGTCGGCAATCGTACCTATGTCGTTTCATCGGTCGCTGTAAATTATTAGTCAGCCAATTATAAAAAAATAAATAAAAAATAAAAAAAACCACTAACCGGCGATTCGAAGTGCGCGGGATTCGTCGCAGAACGCGTATTTAATAAAATAAATTATATATTCGCACTGTCCGTCATATCGTACAGCATTTTTACCACACGCGCTTATACTATAATGGACGATTTATCGAGAAATACAATTACAGAACAAATTCAATATTAATTTCTACACTCATGAGTGGTGTACCTATATATGTGTACAAATAATACTTATAATATAATATACCTGTTGAGTGTTGAAGCAGGTAACGCGCAAACATAAAAGCGCTCAGACAAAGTTTTCGATAAGCGTCGGACGGCGTCCAATAAATGCGATTGGAAATGCATTTGAAACTCGTTAACGAACTCGCTTATTATGCGCATTTCCATTATAAGTACAAACGGTAACCTGCAGAAACGATTGTGTATTATTATTATACTTTTTTTCGTTTGCTACCGCTGCAGTTTCGTTTTTTTACTGTTTTATTTAATGTTTATTCATTTATAATTTAATGAATCTTTTAAAAGGTTTTCGTTTCCAACTAACTCGATATAATATAATATAAACGTGTATAATAACTGCGGGTAGGTCTCGTCGAGTACGGCGCACATACTATTAGTATATAAAATGTATATAATATATATATATGTGTGTGTGTGTGTGTGTGTGTGTATAATCGTTATCCTAACGAATACATTCGATCGGACCAGCTTCTTATAATATGTATTTCGTTCACGAACCTAACCATATACGTGTGCGTTTCGATTGTTTCAGATAAGGCACAGATTCGGTTGCTACGACCAGGTGACCGAGGTGAACAGACTCCGAGTGCGTTATTGTAATTGGGTCCGGTTTTTGAAAATCACGCAGCACCATTCCGAACAACATGTCAACGTATTGGGAACCAAAATAAAAGGTACACACATCAACAACCGGTTCAATATATATACATATATATATGTTTTTATTTCACCGAAATACGTTTTTATTATTATTTATTTTTATTCACGACGATTACGCGATTATATTCGGGTATCTTGCCGAACCTGTTCGGGATTTAACACCGTGTGTGGATTTATGGTCGGATCGCGAGCGAGCGCGCGCGTGTGTGTGAGCTGAGACCGAGCAAACCGTCGTGCGCGTTTCATTGCAGATGTTTTTTTTATGATTATTATTTTGTTTTTCCCGAACAGGCGAACCCATGTACGAAGTGATCAAGAACATACCCGCCAACACAGAGTTGATCGTGCACTACCTGCCTGAGCGGCCGGAAGAGATATTCTTCATGCCCGCCGTCCACTACTTGAGAAACACGCTGTACAGACGAACCATGGACACAATCCTGGAAGGTATGTCCCTATATATTTTAATTATTATTACAGTAATTATCATTATAATACCATCATCGTCGACCATATAATGCGTCCCTGTCGAAGATCGAATTCTCTGCTATAGGTAAAATATATAAATAGCACATCTTCGACCATGTCTCCTGGGTCAAGTGCATGCCGATGATAGTCGATAACGCTCGTGTACATATTATAATTGTTAGTTAAACGCGCACCGCGATTGCCGACCACAAGTCGATACCGATACGAGATAGACGCTCGAACTCGGCTAAAACCATGACGCGAATTCCTACCCCTCCGATAAGGCCGCGACGGCGGCGGTATTTGCGATGTTTAATCTATCGTGTTTTTCCCGCGACTTTTCCTCGTATACATTTTTGTATATGGACATTTTTCGTATTCACAGATAGATAAAACGTATACAACTTTCCAATCAAACGAATATATTATAGTAAATTAACAGCAGACTTGTTCACCTGCTCCCCATAATTTTCCCAACTCAAAGCTGTTATTACATTTAATAATCATTATATTTTATAAGCCAGTAAAAAAAACGAAAGGGGTCCATAAATACTCCATTGCACCTGATAAGATGGCATTATCGTATATTTTTATCTCTACAATGTTCGACAAACAGGGGTTGGCGTCCAAGCAAATAGCGAGGGTTCGCGGCTTTCTGCCTCCCATCGTCTGTGCGTAGAACGTCCCAGCTCCTATAGGTATACTTAATACATTAAATCGTTATGCTATAAAATAAAATGCGAAATTGTCGATATTTCAATGACATCGATTACGCGCAGTAATACGACTGCTACGGTGATGTTATCACGTTTCTCGAATTTTTACGACCAGCCACCGCGAGCAGCTGCCGTGTCGGGGCATCACGCGATCGAGTGCGCGACGGGTCGCTGTTCGATAATAAAACGCGATATATTATTATATATTATACGTACCTACTTGTAAAAAATAATAACGTGCAGATCGGCCGGTATGCATAAAAAAAAAACATAAAAAAACAGAGGTCCTGCACCGTCGGCAGGCAGGCGATTCCTAGCGCTCACGCGCGTGCGGAGATCCGATCGCATCACGATATAGTAGCGGGAATTTTCGATTTTCGGATTTGACGACGTCCGTGCAAACGCGCACGCGCACTCCAAACGATCTCGGCCCGGCGTCAGACCGATCTAGATAAATAAAAATAAAATAAAATTACGTGTGCGAGCAGTGCTCTTATGGCACGCGGCGGCGGGAACTGGCGACTCGCGATTGCCGGTAATTGAAGTCGGTATATGCGAGTACCTACCTACCTACAATATAATAATAGTAATGTAATATATATGCAAATGGCCGACTAATTGAACCGCGGCGGTCCTTTGCCCGGGGATCGCGCCCGTCGGTGGTTTTACGCGCGCGCGCGAGCGCACAAACAGAAGCCGGTCGGAAGTATTATTATGATAATATATTGTATTATGTATATGTGAACTGCGGCGGCGGCGGCGGCGACGACGACGACGACAATAATTACATCGGGATCGCGATACACATATATAAATGCGTATATAGTTAGGTACCTACCTATCTACTTATATAACAGAGATACGCATAGTTTTATATATATCATGTGTACGCGAACATATAGACGAATAAACGAACACCGGCGGCGGCGGCGGTGGCGGCGGAAAACAATGGGATCGTCGGCGCCTTTGAGACCCGAGGGGGCCCCCGCCGGAATGCCATATTTATCTCTGGCGGCCGCCACAATATATAATATCGCCAAGGTGACGCGGCGGCGACGGGGCCGACAATTCGGTGCATTCCGTCCGGTGACACGACTCCGCCATTATAACCGGCCGGCAGCAGCACCAGCGGAGCGGTCCGATTGATGCACGCGATGCATTTTTGCATTTTATTCGTACATTAAATGCAATTGTCTCGTTGCTCGTCGCAGTCGTCCGCCACAATGGTCGTCGTCGTCCGCGCCATTACACCCCACGTCCACCTCACCTCACCGCTCCAACCATCGCATACCCACCACCACCCGCAAGCCGAGACCGGACGTCGTCGAGTATCTACCTATATATACCAGCTAGCGGGACGATCGTCGATCTACAGCGTGATTTATCGATACCTGAACCGATGTACATGTATATATAATATTATAATAGCCGGTCGAAGACTTTGCGCTTACCGTGTTACGCGCGACCGGGTTACGATTTAATTTTTCGATCGAAAACAGCGCATGTCGTGACAGTTGTATTCGTTCTTTCAGCGTATATTATTAATATAGATTCATCTCCGCACGTCCTATAGTAATTGCACGCAGACCGAGGCACGCTTCGTCATATTCGTATAATATTATAATAATAATAATAGTAATGACATACAAATCGTCGGCGGTGTAATTTATACGATTCCGATATAATATTATTTCGAGCTGTCGATAATACACAACACCACCTGCTGCGCGATTATCCGTTCGCGGTAGAAAGTCATGTAGACACCAATATACATACATGCATAATTAATATTATTTATAGTATACCTATATACATCGCGCTTAGTCTGTGGCTCCAGAATGGTAGGATTTATATTATAATGTGTAATATATATTTACACCTATATTATTATAACATATATACATTATATTATAAACAACTAAATATATGTCTACGCGGTTCCACGCGTCAAACGTGTCGGTACAATTAAAATCGCAGAGCTCTTAAGAAATGACAGTTCTTCAAATAATCATCATTATATAGATATTTTTTTTTACCCGTTTCCAATATAGTAATTATTTCATAGAAACGTTTCACCTCATATACCAGTTGCTGCAGAATACTATATCCGGACGCCAGCGATCTCCCTGTAGTCACGTTTAGTAGAAATATTTTATGTTCGTCACTGTACAGCGATCTTTCTATGATAATAATAATAATAATAATAATAATGCAAAATATCAGCAAACTCTTAATTAGACAAAAGTAATAAAATCCAAAACCAGTGGTTTACTCTATGCCTAAATGATATTATATAATAAAGAAAATTATTATAATATTATTACTCTATATCATGGGATCAGCCCGTTATACGATTGTGATTTCCGTTGACGGGAAGTCGCGACTCGAGTCTGTCTGATAAAATTATATGATGTTTCTTCACTTCATCGTGTTATTCGAACGTGACAATTTAGCGATATGACCGCGAGTATTGAGAGAGAAAAATTATGACTTTTTACATTCTGCAGTAGTCTCCTGTGCCCCGACACGGAGGCAGCTATTGTGACGGTCGTCGTGAATCGAGTACACGTGAATACTGTACGCAACAATAATATTATTATTATTATACGCTCAACATAATAATATATAATAATATAATATACGCGGATGGCGGCGAGATGGAGTGAAAAAAAAACCGGAGAAACGCACGCGCGTTCCGGAGATCTATATGCGCGGACGTCCGCGACGTGTCGGTCCGACAAGAGTGTTTTTTTTTCCCGCTGAAAGGAATCGGGTTGGCCGCCGCACAAAAGAAGAACGGTCCCGTCCGAAAAGTCACTGCTGCAATAAGCAGGAGCCGAGGTCTCCTTTCAATTTCAAAACGTGACGTCTGCAATAATGACCCACAAACGCGCGGGGCACACTTCGGCGTCGGCCGGACCATTGTCTCGGGATAACACCTCGTTTCGTCAATCTCTAAATCTCGACACGAAATCGGTGGCACCGCACTCCTCGTGCAGCCCACACCGCCGCTGGATCCGAGTACACCGCTTCACGAGACTCGCGGGTTAATCTCCCGCTCATTCAATCCCCCCCCCCCATATTCCTCCGCCACCGACGACTCTCGGTCACCGCGTGCCCAATGACTAGTGCCTACTCTGTACACTATATAATATTATAGGTACTCATATATTACACACGCACACATCATACAGTGTGGCCGTAGTATATCGACTATGTATTGTAAACAAGAGTGGTGTGTGCGCCTTCAACCGTGTGCGCTATACGTGTGTACCTATTTTTTTACCCATTTATCTCTCCTCTCGCTAGGCCGAATCTATAACAAGCGCGTATGTGCATTAGGCACGCACGAGCCATGTCGTCCGCATCAACAATGCATTACGATTTCCCTCCCAACACCTCCAACCCACACTATCACCACATTCACGCTCCACGACGACGTTGGCTTCCGAACGGTTCGACCGGCTAATTACGTTTGGTGTTCGGTGGCGAGGGGGGGGGGGAGAGGGGTTCGTGCTCGTGTCCGCGAGACTGGCGGAAAAACGGCCGACAGACTATATTATTATAATATTATAATAGCGGACTCGATATGTGAGATGTTGTGAAATACTATATATATAGGTACTTCGACAAACACACGAAATAATGGTAATATATTTTACAGCCGAGGCGAATCACGTTTGGCGATCGTCGATATTATATTATACGAAACCATTTTTAGATTGACTATAACATAATATAATGTACCTATAATATATATCACATTATTCGATGCGATGTACTATAATAATATTTTAATAGATACGCGTTATAATAAACGTATATACGCCTCCATATCCTACCTGTATAGTATGGCGATGATGAGCGCTCACGACGTTACGAAACGATTCAGTTAATTACGCGTATCCATATACTGCAGCTGATGATAATAATTAACAAACGTGCAGCATTTATTTAAATCGTTTCATTATACCCACGGTATTTTAAGCGATTTTTTTTCCTATCGAAAGAAAATCGTTTATGATTTAAAAGTTAAAACGAACATCAATAATAATTATCGTTTCGTTCGTCAAAATCACAATATTATAAAATAATATATTCCTCTGTTACTACTTACTACTTGATTTCTTAACTTACTCACAAGTCTTTCTAGAGCACACTTTTCTGGGAATCGAATGAAGTCTATAATTATTTTGTTCTGTCCATTAAAATAAGAAATACTATGTTATCTGTAATTGATTATTCTAGTTATTGTTTTTTTAATGGTTTTTCTTACTTAGGTTACCTACCTAAATTAGGTACTATTCTAACCTCTTTATTAATTTGATGTGAGTACTATATTATTACTACACTTCCTCCGCTTTCTATTTTCCTATTTATATCGTCAACGTCTCAATGACATTAACATAATATATATATTATTATGATTGTTATCCGTGTTCGAAAAAGGTTTGTTACACCGTTTAGTTTTGTATAGAATGTTTCAATGCGGTCGACAATCCACGTACGCGTTTTTGTAGTGGCCAAATATCCCCGTTGTCATAACGAACACTACTTAATTTTTATTTTTTAAATTAATTTACATATTTGTTTGCTTTAATCTTTTGGAGGGATCATCGTTTTATCGTCACTAATACGTGGGCTCGGCGTAATATTATTAAAAATGAACGCGGACGCCGAAAGTTTCACCCTCAATTTTCTATTTTGTACTTTGACTGATCACATAATATTAATGTAATACGTTGAATAATCCCGGCGATTCCGCGTAATGAGATGAGACATTCATACTATACAACTATTAACTATTGTTTCGAACGAGCGAGGTCGCTCGGGGACGTCTTCGAGGCGGCGCGGCGTGGGCCCAGAGTAGATTGACGCAAAACGACCTTGTCCCTAGCCTTATACGCCGGTAACATACAATATGTTATATTATAATATTACAACGATAGGTACGTTGTCGTCCTGTTTACGGCTACTTGAATTAATACTGCGTAAAATGGCCTCGAGCGGCGTGTGAATAAAAAAAAAACGCGACACTGCAACGTTATTGCTGCGGTATATTATAATAATGCGTTTACGGGCTCGATACATAATATTATATTACCATTATATACCCATACTAATATTTATATTATTTATGTATTATATACATTTATGTTATGTACTACACCGGACGGTGTAGGAATAATATACCAAACGCGTTAGATTTTCGTAATAGCATATTATGTCGTAGGTATTTGTACAATGTACAAACTGCAGCTAGGTATATAAAAGCCGATAGGTATTCACAGGACCATATACACGGTATAAAAATGGTATACGCGTATATTACGATAACAACGCACCTCTGCATCAATTTTTCAACTAGCCACGACGGGTACCATCTCGCAGTCACTGACTTCGCGCTCTATATACCACCAATATATTTTAATTATTATCGACCAATGACTCTGGCGTACGATGACGGACTGCTGCGGGACGGAATGAAAAGTCAAAACTAAAAATGGAAATGGAAACGACACGGAATCCCGAATGATATACGCGTGTGCATCGTGAGAGCATATAATATAATATACCTATAAAGTAGAGAAAAAACAGAGACGGAATATGTTCGATACGAGCACACACATATACCTACGCTCACACTCGAACACATAGGTACGCGTACACGTCCAAAGACCAATATCGTTGTATAATAATGCGTACGGTTTGTCCATTGTTCTGGTGGCTATTGGTGATTGTGAGGCGGCGGCGACAATATATACGCGAGTATTATATTATTATTATTATTATATATAAGTGCAGTAGACACTATTATACATACATACATATATACCTATATACGCGTACTTGCGTACCTACGTACCTATACCCCGTGGCCAAGGCGGTACTCACTTCCAAACGGTAGCGGCACGTCCTTCTATTGTTTGGCCGTCGTCGCCGCTGCCGCCCGATCGACGTCAGGCGCGGGTATTGTCCTCGGCTCTTCTCATCCCCCGGCCCGCACTGAGACGGTGACACGGACTTGATTTGCGTCCGTCTCTCCGGTGTACTTGTGTATGTTCGTATATATTATATGTATATGCGTGTGTATGTGTGTGAGTGTGTGTGTGTGTGTGTGTGTGTGTGTGTGTGTGTGTGTGTGTGTGTGTGTGTGTGTGTGTGTGTGTGCATGTAGGTATATATGAACACATATAGGTATAAATGTATGATATTATAAGCGCGATGGTCGTCACGCGAGATCGAAACGGAGGAAAACAGAGTATATCTATACATATATATACGTCAAGTATATTATTATTATACGGGATGCATAAGCGTGCAACGTATTTTTATATCGGAAAATCGAATACGAACCGCATATATTATAATGGTCGTTCCCGTTCAAAATCCTGAAAAAAATGAGTATTTACGAAAATTGTTTTTTTTTCCAATCGTGCTTCGATAGAACAAAATATTGTTATTTCAGCGGTCTTTAGAAAAAAAAATACCGATTTTTTCTGGTTGTTGGGAAGTTTTGGTATATGAGATAGAGTGGAAGGAATGCATAATCAACACCAACACCACCACCAGCGAACCATGCAGTCTAATCACGACTATGATAGGATGATAATGTTACAGTATTAATATTACAGTAGGTATGTACAACGTAGGAATAATAATCTGTGTACCTATAGAACGTATAGTATGTACCTACATTATTTAGGAGTGTGAACGGGGTTTTTTTTTCGTTGGTTTGTTTGTTACGGGTGCTTCACGCGATTCAGAAAACGACATAATAATAACGCGAAAAATGAAATATTATCCAATAATAATAATATAACATAGTCTCACATAAAATATACTCACGGCACGTACGACGTGTGTATGAATTGCTGAGGCAGGGTTGTAAGAGTGCGACGATTATGTGTCGTTATAATAATATAATAATAATAATATACGTTTCATCGTCACGACGTCATATAGGTACCTACTATTGAATATTGATAGGCTACTACAATAACCTTCCGACTGCTCTTTATATGATAATATATATGTCGAACAGAAATTAGTTGACGTGTCTGTCGTCACCGCAAACTCATTGTTCGACGACGGTCGTGCGTCCGTCTCTTGGACCACTGCTACAAATCTGGTGACTGTCCGCGAAGAAGGTTTGTACTGTGGGAAGTGGACTGGAAATGTCATTAATTCGACGAACACGTATCGTAACTCGTGATGGACAGTTCCGTTACCGCATCAGTATAAATACAGTTTTTGGAGGCAACATACGATTTGATGGGGAGCGAATACCTCTCCTTTATATAATAAAAATATACGTATTTGCACTACGATCTTCGACGAGACGGTTGACTTGCATCATTCGATATTATGACTGTAAAATAAGACGGAATAAAGTACACACCTATTCAAAACGGAAATAATCGGACAAATTGTCTTCCAAATCGGTGGCCTGGTTTTGTCACAGAGAACTTATACCCATCCGCCTAGATATAGGAAAAATGTACTACTTCGGCCGGCGTATCGACGACGTGAAAGCGCGTATATCGAATCGCGTATCTAAGCGTACGGGACGCGACACGAACAGTTTTCATCCAAATACGCATATAAATTGACTCTTGTACGCCGTACTACGTAGGTACCTATATAATATATGTATAGACTATAGAGTAATAGTAATAAGCAGCAACATAGACGATCGACTTGGCGAGATTATCGTTTTAATTGGAACTATAACGGCGGATAAGACCATGGTGGCTTTTGCTCGGGTCCGCACGGTTTAATAATAATAATATAATCAACCGCGGCATAATAATATTCACGTTGCCGTAATCACAGACAATGTAGATACAACTATACCTATGATGCTAGGTACCTCTACCTCTATAATAATAATATATATTTTAATAATAACGAGTGTTCAATCTAATCTAAATACTATATTCAAGCACAAAGTCTCTTTTTACGGAATCTTACAGCAGGAGAGAGCCAAGACCACATTTAAATGTGCTCACTTTCTTATGCATTATTAAGTATAGATAAATAGAAGTGTCGGAACTCGGTCTTATGTGTCTCGTGTGTTAAGGCTACACAAAACATTGTACCGTCATGCGAAGACTATAATATATTATAATTATGCAGTTTGACAACTCGTTTAAACCATTAAAAACGAAATTGTGTAAAATAAAAAACTATATTATCACTTATTGGAGCCTCGCGAAATACAATACAATGTTTTGTACATTGTTCAATACATCAACGGACGTTTAAATAGATTATCAATGTAAATAATATTATGCCTTTTTTTATTTTTCCAGACTCACCGTTGGACCTATCCATGTCGCTACTGTCCCGGGCGTTCGGCACGTCTTCCGCGTCATCGGCGTCTTCCCCGCCCAGCGGACTGGACACGGACGAGCGCAAGTCGTTGTCCGGTGAATCGTCTTCGGCCAACTCTTTATCCGGCGACACAGCATCGCTGGACCACAACGTGAACATGATCGTGTGCAACACGACTCCGGTGAAACCGAGGCCGTTCCGCGGAGAGCGCACCCTGCTGCCGTGCGAGGTGTGCCGCAAAGCTTTCGACCGACCGTCGTTGCTTAAGAGACACATGCGCACCCACACCGGTACGTCTATAGAAATCATTATAATATTATTTATTCATTTAACCTAAATCCGGCTACACTAATTTAACATGGGAATTTTCGTTATGTCGTAATACCTATAGTGTTTACCTGCACACCGTTTTCGTTTTCCTGCAGCGGCGGCGTTCCGGAATGTTTGTTTCAGTTGCGACTCTAAAAGAAATTAATATAATAATTCTATCGCGAAATTTCTTCGTATTTACTTAACGTGCGTATAACAACAGATTGACCACCACGGGTTTTTTTCGCAAGTCACTCAAATCTGCTTTTGAGACTCGATTTGAAGTTTCTTAAAAATCGATTTCAGGGATACCTTGTTTGGGGTCTCAATTATCAGTATTTTCAAGATTAGAAATGCACAGTGTTGCCACTTTCAGCAGGTATCATAAGATTGCAAATATCATTATTAATTATTTTTAATCATTTTTTCTTTAAATTGGTAAAACTGTGTTTGTGTAAACCTATCAAAAAACGTCGTGGCGACTGGTAGGAAATTCCCGAGAACCCAAAATGAGTTTAATGGTGGTTAACTACGCATATAAACGGCATATTATAAATCGTGAGAGGTACGAATTTTTGTGTAGCTAAACCATTTTCCATAATATTCTTTAATATGACAATCGTATTGAACCGGCCTCAAAATGTCGTCTTCGTTACGTTTAAAAGGAGATTGCAAAACACACAGCACTACAGCAGACGCAAGTCACAATTCACATAGGTACTATTATTATACTGTTATGACATATGTTTATTTTACTGGTGCAGTGAAGAACCATGGCGTTCGTACTTTGCCGACGACAATATAAACATAATAAAATATTAACGTGTTTACTGTTTACACATAATAATATATTTCCATATAATGCCGCGTTATTATATGCATATAATATTATTGATGTGCATCTAATGTAATAGTACCTACACAACGCGTACATAATAAAATGTGATCCGTAGATAATTTCGCGAAATAAAAAAAAAAGCTGCAGCAGAAAGCTTACCGCAACAACTTCTCAGCGTACATATAAGTATAATAATATGCATCATAGTACGAGACTGGTCCATAAACATCAGCGATTACGATAATATACGCTCGCACTGGCTCTCCATTCGGTCGTTTCCCGAGACCGGATGACGCTGTTTTTCTTTTCCATATTTTAATTTTTTTTTATTATTATTACATCCATCTTAAGTCTCGCGTATTCAATTCCCACGGCCCGGATCAAAATCGATGGCCTCTCGGATCCTGTTGACCGACATCCACTCTCCGATATAACACCCCATACACATATATATATTATAATATTATACCCAAGTATTTTGTGAAAAATCGTTTCCCACAACTAATACCATCGCATACGTTTTCCAATGCAGGTGAAAAGCCTCACGTCTGTGCAGTGTGCAACAAGGGTTTCTCGACGTCGAGTTCGTTGAACACTCACCGGCGGATCCACAGCGGCGAAAAACCGCACCAGTGTGGCGTTTGCGGAAAACGGTTCACGGCCAGTTCTAATCTCTACTACCACCGAATGACTCACATTAAGGTAAGCCTAGCTATAGCGTTATTTTTTTAAATATTGTTGAATTCAAAAAATATTTTTTTATATTTCATCCACATCATATTATAATATTATGTAGAATTCGCGGGAAATAATAGTAAAACAAATTGTCAGTCGAAATACGACTTTTTTGTTCGCTTAACGATTTGTAGGTACGTATGATATTCAATAGCATATAAGTATCTAATATTATATGCATATTATACGTATATATAGTCTGCAGTAGAGCATAAATTACCCAGTTCGGCCACTATATTATAGAAGGCCAATAAAACCAGACCATTGACCTCTTATTATAATGACGTCTTATGTACGATCCAACACACGAAATTGTTCACGACAGATTTTTTCTCCGAATATTACACACCTATTAAAATTGGTTATTATAGCATATTTTAGTCATTATATTTCCGCCGAATGGTTTATTTAAATTTGGCTTTTAACTGTGATCGATAACAATTTTCTCCTACCCTCGACCCTAAATATGAATTTTCGGCTTACAAATTGAACATTATAAATTGAATTCCTATACATACAGTATAATATTATACAATTCCAACAAAAATATTTTTCAATTTTTAAATACTCGATTTCGATATATTTTTAATCAAAATATTATATTGTACTAAGTCAATATTATACATTTTTAACACTACAATATAAAATATATGATTTTTAATAAATACATTTATACGAAACTCGAGGTATATCTATATATCTATAGATATTGTTATATTATATACGTACACAATTTAAACACGTATAATACAGTATAATTATTACATTTTCATCGTTTTTTTTACATATTTAATATTATATATTTTTATTCATTATTCTAATATATACCTGTTATTAACACGAATGAAAATATTGATAAAAATGTGATAATCAATCATTATATTCGAACGGTGGCCACGGTATAGAATCGAGTTACACTATTACGTTTTTAAGAGTCTCGTCGTGTACATGTATAATAATAATCGTATTATTAATATTATTAACATACCCATAAACCGTCGGCCGGTTAACAACTAAACCGTCGTGACTGTAATACAAGAGAGGGCTAAAGACAGGATCCACACCGCTTCGGTCGGGTGTGTGTGTGTGTGTGTGTACTGTATATTATACATATACGACTTTTTTAATGTTCCAAGACTCACGCAAGATTATGGGTCTTTAATAATACGTCTGAACCAGTCTGTGGGGCATACAGATTATTATTATCTCTGCGCGCGGTGGATTGGTTAGTGTGTATAGATTTTTTTTCAAACTCAAATAATTATTATACACGGAATTAAAATTAAAATCGTGTGGAACACGTAACACCGAGCTACTTATTTGTGGCTGGGTCTCCGCGCTTGGAGATGGTGTCCGGATACTGGTGGTTTAATTTCGTGTTTTTTCTTTTTATTATTATTATTATTATTATTATTATTATGTGCTCGCAATTTAAAAAAAAACATAGTATATATATTAGTATAATAAACCAGAATGGTTTTTAATATTTCGATCAATTTTGTCGTAAACACGAAGGAAAAAGTGGTTTCCGACGTGACCCGAACCTTTATATTATTAGATATATTATATTATTATAGTATGTGCATTTGGTTATATAGTTTAAATTTGGAACCAAAATTCATCTCGTCTAACCGGTTGACGGACGTATATTATATTAATATAGTGGAAGTGCTCATACACACTCATCGCAGGATCGGTTGCGATTCTCTTCATGTGTGTATATAGTATAATAGGTATATACATTGTAGGTATGTATATCATTAGACATAACCGAGCGTGAGATCTCCTGATGTGTGATTATTTTCCTGAAATTATAGTTAATATAGGTATGATATATTGACGGAATTGTATGTAGGTATAGTGACGACAGCGACACGTTTATGGTTTCACGGGGTGGATCACTTATATAGTGGCAAGTTCGTAATCTTATTTTATTTTTCATACTAAGTTTGGATTTGACTAAGATCTCCAAACTAACTACGGCGAAGAAGAGTTGGTACGAGTATATATTATATGAAGGTTCTACTACCCCAATTGAAATTTGTTCTACCTTTACTGGCTCAAATAATTAATAAATTTTACCCCATAAACTCTAAATATATTCAGGTATTTAATTATGTAGGATAAGCTTACACTCGTCCCGTGTAACCGTAGCCGTTATCCAATCGCGGACTTAATATACTGCAAGGTCGGCGTGAAACTGAAGCGCAGTCGTTACAGTTATAATATTATATAGTGTTGAACTTCGTGCATACCTACATATCGATGCAAATATCTGCACGTACTTACTTGTTTAATCATTGTAATATTATATTGCGTGGAAAACACTTCAAGTACCTATATAGGAACGTTGAAAAGATAATTTGCGGTTTGAGCTATCACTTCTACTAAATAGGAAAGTGATCAAAATAATATTATAACAGTATCACAGTCCAAATCATAATTATTTTCAGCTGTCTACCAATGGTCTCAAACAAAAATATTCGAAACTTCTCTCAATTAAGACCCACTATATATATTGGTACATGAAGTCGATCAAAAGAATAGCAAACACACTCACATGATCTTTAGGAACACACTTTCACAGGCAAAACAAATATACATCTCACTGGCTGATGATGTGCACCTACCTAAGAAGAAAATACAAAATAAAACTAAGACCAATCGAATGGAAAAATCAAATCATACAAAATCCATCAAACAAACTTTTCCCGACTTCCTCCTCGAATAAACTCACACCTGACAGGAGTGCGTAAGCTTTAAACCCCTTTCATACAAGGGTTAGTAATAAGAAAGTTAATAACTATTGTAGAAGTCTAATTTAAAAAACATATATGATTAATACAGATAAATAGAAAATCAAAATATTTTTAAAAAAATCAAATCAAAACAGAAAATATTTTTAATAAAATACTGTAGAGTACGCAATGCTCATAATCTTAATCACATCTCCGGGACATCTCTTCGAGTTGTACAAAACTAGATAATATTGTAATAAGCGGACGGCAACGCAAAAACGGATTGATCGAGAATCGTTTACGATCAAACCACAGAATGTATGAAATGTTGAAATATATACATATTCTGTGATCAAACGATTAATTAATAATTTGTATGATATCACAGGCGCCAAACAATGTACTTGCAGCGTGTCAATCAAAAATGCTAAGTTCATTAATATGTGTATGATCATTAAACTGCGGTAGTGGTTACTAGAGCTGTATACGATTCTTCGAATTCCGGCCGAAAGGTCCATAAATTATTATTCTTTTAATCGCGTTACAACAATATAATACGCGCATGAACGGGGAAAAAACATCGGACTCAGAGGCGACGGCAGCAGATGTGTCGACGGAGTCAGTGCATTATATTATTATTGTACGCAATATATTATATAATATATAAATGCTCCTTGGACACGCAACGCACGGTGATAAAATATAATGCGAACGGCACGCCACACGACTCCGTGTCAACAATAATAACGACGACACGACGATGTATTATTGCAATCGGCGCTGTGAAAAAACGGTGATAATTTTATTATTATGATATTATTATTGAAATCGCAGTATCGATTGCGCGGCTGGTGCGCGCGAGGAAAAATAAGAACCGTCGAAGGACATCGCGATCCGAATACCACGACGATGGTATTATAATAGGGTATTAATTCGAGATGATGAATTATTGCAGCCCCCGATTCGTGGTTGGCTGGAACGTATACAACTGGTTAGGTCAGTACTTACCTGCATCATGGAGTAGAATAATAATTATGTAGAAGTCACCCATTTGCTTGTTCAAATTTCGACTTCAGCACTTCAACTAAAATAGGTACTTTAGACAAAAAAAACTACTTATGGTTCCCACAGAAAAATTGGTTAAAAATTGAAGAATGGATATTTTGTATTTTTGTGTTGTCAGGCAGAACTGTAAGTACTCGAATCACACAACTACAGCTGTTAGCAATAAGGCAACATGTTTTCCGAAAATCAGGGTTATCCATCAAATTCGAAGCATAAAAACGGTGAGGGGTAAGCATAATGAAAATATAACCACCATACAACAATATTATCTACACTGCGGGTAGTCAGGATCGCGATCGATAAATTATTATGTTGTAATAATGCGCTTTCCGCGAAAATCAATTGTCGCGACGTGTTGCGGCGCACGGTCTTGTGTCGCGCGCGCTGTCAGAGCGCCGGACGGTCGTGCGGCGTGCGCGCACCTTAATCGCAGCTATAAAAATATGATCGTCCCGTGTGCAGAGGTGGCGTTTCTTCTCCCGCCGCAACAGGTATATACCGCTCCGCACCCACCGGCCGGCGAACGTGGTTACCCGCCGTGGGAACTGTGCACACACACACACACACACACGCGTATATACGCATACGATGTTATCCGGACCGTATCGCATCTTATCGTGGTCACGTATCTCCGTCGTATATTATATTCGGGTGCAAACTACGGTTGTGTTTCGATCGTGGCCGAGAGGGCAGTTGATGACCAGCACACGACCGTTTCTTCGGTATTTATGAGGTATATATCGGCCATATATACCGTACACACACGTATATAATATAATAACTGCTGTAATGTGCAACGCCATACCATGTCCTTCGGTCCCATACGCAATACCGCCGATATCAATAACAATAATAATAATAATAATAAATAATATTATATTATGTACCTATATAGGATGTATATACACAATATTATATAATATACCCACTATTGTGTATACATAACGCGCATCTATACTATATTATTATAACGGTTATTATACTGCTCTGGCACGTTGCACTTAACCGCGGAGTAGGTACACTATAGCTAAGGTTCACGATACGGATAAGCGGCGATCGGCGAGCAAAGGAGAAAAAAAATTCGAACCACGAGTAATCCGATCACGCAAATATGTCATACAGACGGTGCATTATGGAAAGAGTACTATGTTTATTATTGTATCT